CACCGCAGCTGTCTTAAAACCAGAGCCATGGCTGTGCCCTTGCCTCCCCACCATCTGCTCTCCAGGTGACGGCCCAAGGGATCTTTAAAACTCGCCACCTGCAAAGAACGTGGCTTTCTTAGAGTACTGTGCTTCTAAAAATTTAATATATTTTTGGATCATGTGGGAATTTTGCTAAGATGCAGTTTGTGATTAGTTATTCGGGGTTGGGCTCAAGACTGTTTCTAATAAGCTCCCAGGTCATGCAGTTGCTGCGCTCCTGGACCGCATTAGGAGTAACAAAGGCTTGGAGAAAAATCCAAACTTCCTTCCCATGTCCCACTTTATCTGGCCCCTGCATAGCTCTCCCACGTCAATGCCAGCCCTTGCTCCTCTCCCTCATCTTGCTATGGCTCCTCCGGCCTTCACTCTGTTCCTGGAGTATGCCAAGCTGCTCCTGCCTCAGAGCCTCTGCATGCTATATTCCCACTGCCTGGAGTGCTCCTTTCCTGGAATATTCCACATGACTTGTTTTTCTTTATTTACATCTTAGTTCAATGGTCAGACAGTCATTCTCTGTCCACTCCATCTAGTGAAGTGCCTTAGCCACCAGAGACTCTCGGCTATTTGCTTTTCTCTTCTTCTGCATAGCACTTATGAGTCTCAGTTTATTTTGATAATATATTTGTTGACATTCATTTCCTGTCCTTCCCTTCATATATGTTCCACAGGGATAAGGACTAGGCTTCCTTCACTCTGAGCCTACCCCAGAGCCTGGCACATGGTAAGTGTCCTCTTCATGCTTCTTGGGCCTGTGCACAAAGATGTTCCCACTGCTGCTGTTGGTGTTTGGATGCAGACAAGCTGGGAAAAGCAACGGAGGGACCTGAGACAGAGGAGAGGAAGGAGGGAATAAGCAAACTTTCTCTACTGAGGTGCCTCAGAAAAAGCCTCAAGGACCTGGAGATGATGCTGAAACCCTGAATCAACACATAATAGATGAATTCATCTAACTAGAAGAGATTCATTCTGGAAAGTGGGGAAGAAAGTAAAGCATAGTTCAATGAGTTAAGCATTTGGAACAGTTTCAGTAGACCTATAGTAAATATTTATCAAATAAATAAACATGCTGAACCCTTATTTTATGACCATCACTTTATGTTATATAATCTGTTCATCCTCATAAAACATTATCACCATCTTGCAAATAAGAAGCCGTGCTACCAGATTAGGAGATTTACCCGAGGTCATATAAGACTCACCCAAGGTCATACAGCGATTCAGAGACAGAGCTGACTACCCCACTCTCTGAAACAGCTCTATTCAAAGTTGTAAAGGCCATATTCCCTGTCCCCTTCCCTGCAGTGCCATACCACCTGTTACCAGTGACACACTGTGCATTTATCTGCTTGTCTGTTTCCTCTCACCACAGCATAAATTCCCTAAGGGTAAGAATCTTCGTTTTGTTCGCTACTCTTTTCCAGAGCCCAGAACAGGGCCTGCCATGTAAGTGGCACTTCATGAATGCTTACTGAATGTTAAAAGGATGAATGAAGGGATTATTTAAAAATCCTTATTTCGGCCAGGTGCCATGGCTCATGCCCGTAATCCTAGTGCTTTTGGGAGAGTGAGGCCAAGAACAGGAGTTTGAGCCCAGTCTAGACAACACAGCAAGACCCTGTTACTACAAAAAATTTACAAATTAGTCAGATGTGGCAGGCATCTGTAGTCCCAGCTACTCAGGAGACTGAGGCAGGAGGATGGCTTGAACCCAGGAGTTTGAGGCTGCAGTGAGCTTTCTCGTGCCACTGCACTCCAACCTGGGCAACAGAGCAAGACCCTGTCTCTTAAAAACAAAAAACAAAAACAAAAAAGTTTCTTCATCTCTAAAGGGCAGTTCTGTAAACCTGTGGCTGACAGATGACTCAAATCCAGGCAAGAAGGCTGGAGGCCATTTGTGAGGAAGGAAAGCTGTAGCCTGCTGAATGCTTTTGATAATCAGAGGGAAGACTGTATCCACAGAGGAGAGACTCACTGCAGGGAGCTGGCATATGTTCCAGTCTCAGGCTCTGACATCACCCCTGTGGTGGCATGGGTGGGCATGAACGCCACAAGCTGGCAGTGGCTCTTCTCAGGATGTGGCTTCCCACATAAAGTGGCCCTAGAGGGAGAATATAATGACCAGGCCCCATTGGCAATAACAAGTTCGATGTAAGTGCATAAATAGGCACTTACCAGAAAATTTCTTGTGAGCCAGGCATGGTAGTTCATGCCTATAATCCCAGCACCTCAGGAGGCTGAAGGGAAAGGATTGCTTGAGCCCAGGAGTTTGAGACCAGCAGCCTGGGCAACGTAGAGAGACTCCATTTTTTTTAAAAAAAGTTCAAGTTAGCTGGGCATGGTGGCATACTCCTATAGTCCCAGCTACTTGGGAAGCTGGTGTGGGAGGATTGCCTGAGTCTGGGAGGTCAAGGCTGCACTGAGCCATGATCATGCTACTGTACTCCAGCCTGAGTGACAGAGCAAGACTCCATTTCAGAAAAAAAAAAAAAAAATCTTTTGTGAATTGCGTTAGAATGAGTGAGTCGTTCAAGCCTGGCAGCTCTGGCTGCTGGACAGAGGCTCTGAACCAGCCAGGCTGGATTGTGGATAGTCCCTTAAGATAGTTCTCTGCCCACTGACCTTCCTCTGTACCTAGGCTTCTCAAAGTATAGACTTGAGACTGGGCTCAGACTAACCACATCAGTACCACCTGAGAACTTGATAGAAATGCAAATTCTCCTGCCCTGTCCTCTGATCAATAAAATTAGAAAGTATAGAGGTGGGGTCCATGGTTCTGGGAATTAACAAGTCCTCCAGGTGATTCTGATGCATGTTCAAGTTTGAGAACCACAACTAGTTTCCCCTTCATAATAGTTACTACTTTGCAAGGAGTCAGGTGGGGTTAAGGTAACAGGTTGAGAAATTCATAATACCGTGCAGGGGTCTTTTTACAAGTTGAGTGAGGACTGGACCAGTGATTCTCAATGGGAAAGGCCAGGTTAGGGAGGAACCTCCTTGCATTTGGAAAATCTCCAGAGGAGTGGTTAATTTGCAAAAACACATTTTAAAGTTATAGTTTTGCTTTCTAGACCTGATTTTTAAAAATTTATTATTATTTTTTTAGAGACAGGGTCTTGCCATATTGCCCAGGCTGGTCTCGAACTCCTGGGTTCAAGTGATCCTTCCCTCTTGGCCTCTCAAAGTGCTGGGATTACAGGCGTGAGCCACGGTGCCCAGCCCTTACTTTATTTTGAAGGCTGGTGTAATAAAAACATTAAAGGAAGGTGTAATATAAACTGCTACCCAGTATTGATTGTTTTAGTGTCTATAACGTTTGGATCCCACCTCCTGTCCAATTCTCATCCTCTAACACAAAAACAAAACCCAAAAAACAACTATCTACACACACACACACACACACACACACACCCCCTCGGCTGGCCTGAGAGGTAAAAGAAACATCCCACAGGACCTGCGGAAAGAGCTCCTGAGGCACATTGGAGCCTTTATTGTGTGCCATCACTGTATCTGGCACTATGAAGAGGGTACAATGATACACTAGCTAGTGGCTTCTGCAATCAAGCAGCTTACAAGAGAAAATTCAGGGGGGAGACATTTTTTTCTGGTTGACAGATGTTGAAAGTATGAAGGTATGGGAGCTTTGATCAGAGACTTGGTTTTTCAGTTTTGCCAGATAATAGAACACACGGGGTGAACTAATGAGACAGGAGGGTGAACAGATGGGCGAGGCTTGATTGCTGGGTTAGGAGGCACAGAAAGGCACAGAGGACAGAGGACTACCAGTCCTTGGCAGTACTGTACTGCTCCATGGCCACTACTTGGGTCCAGGGCTACATTCAGATCTGAGGTTAGATAGTAAGAATTGCTAACATTTATCCAGCGACCACATGTGCCAGTAATCAATCTAGGTGCTGTACATGTATTAACCCTTCTTCATAGGAAACCTATGAAAATGTTATTTGACGGGGAGACTCGGGCATTCACAGGAAATCGAACGTGCCCAAGGTCTCACCCTAGACAGTGGTGGAGTCAGAATTTGAGTCCTGGCCACTTGCTCCGAAGCCACCGACAATTCAGTGTGCTGTCCCCAGTGTCTGGGCTGACTTGGTGGGTTGGGAATGGCGGAGGAATGGGACACTTATTTTGGTAGGTAAATGTGGTTCAGAAGAAAGCCCTTCGTCTTTCTCCAAGCCTGAGCAATCCTTTTGGCGCAGGCAGTCCAGAGCAGAGCGCTTTGTGAGCCAGTTACAGGAGAAGTGCTGTAAGCCCCTTCCCACTAGATGGCAGCCCCTAAACCCACATACAAATCCTGGAACCTCCCTGGTCCCCATCTTCCAGGGCTGGGCTGCGGCTGAGGAACTGCGGGACGTACACCCGCCGGGCGTCCAGAGGGCGCCGCCCCATCCGGGGGTCGCGGGAAGCTCCTAGGCCGGGTGGAGGGTGGAGGC